CCAAAATAAAAAAAAAATAATTAAAAATCAGATGAAACACAAAAGATTTTGTCTTGGTAACTAAAATTAGAGCTGCACAAGGGAGAGCAGATCAAGTGCTCCATGCCATCATTTCCCAGTCACACTATTTTTTCCGTGATGAGTCATACTCCCTAGTGTCCATTCTGGAAAGTCCTTGGAGAGTCCAAATGGCAAACAAGGGAGATCTTGCCTGAGTACTCTGACTGAAGCCTAACTGAAAGTATTTGATATTTTCTGGCAAAATACATCTATTCAAAGCTCTCAGCAGTTTGCTTGTTTGAGAAGATACTAAAATGCATAGAGAAAGCAGGAAAATATTATTGAATTATTTTTAATTGAAAACCAGAAATTTTTGGTGCATGTGTTCAAAAGCCTTCATTCACTTTGAAGGTAAATACAACAGAGTTAGAATTCCTATGAAGAGCTCATCTCTAATTTAACTTGGAATCATAGAATAGAATCATGGAATCATTTAGGTTGGAGAAGACAGATGTTTCACAGATATTTCACAGAGTATTCTGAGTTGGAAGGGACCCTCCAAGACCATTGAGTCCAACCTTTGACCAAACACCACAGTGTCAACTAAACCAAAGCACTAAAAGCCATGCCCAAAGCACTAAGTGCCACCTCTCTGGGCAGTCCATTCCAATGTTTAATCACCCTTTCTGTGAAGAAATTCCTCATGATGTCCAACCTTAACCTCCACTGATGCAGCTTGAAGCCGTTTTCTCTCATCCTGTCACCAGTTGCCTGGGAGAAGAGGTTGAACCCCACCTTACTAGGGCCTCCTTTCAGGTAGTTACAGAGAATGATAAGGTTTCCTTTGAGCCTCCTCTTCTCCAGGCTAAACAACCCTCCCTCAGCCCCTCCTCATAAGACCTACTCTCTAGACCCTCACCCAGCTCTGTTGGCCATCTCTGGACTCGCTCCAGCACCTCAATATCTTTCCTGTAGTGAGGGGCCCAGAACTGGACACAGCACTGGAGATGTGGCCTCGCCAGTGCCAAGTACAAGGGGACAATCACTTCCCTAGTCCTGCTGGCCACACTACTGCTTATACAAGCCTGGATGAGATTGGCTTTCTGGACCACACTGCTGGCTCACATTCAGCCAGCTATAAAACAGCACCCCCAGGTCTTTTTCTGTCGGGCAGCTTTCCAGCTGCTCTATCCCCCAGCCTGTCACATTCCATGGGGTTGTTGTGACCCAAGTGCAGGACTTGGCACTTCATCAAGTATGGAATCTCATACTGCTGGTCTCGGCCCATCTATCCAGCCTGCCCAGATCCTTCTGCAGAGCCTTTCTACCCTCCAGCAGATCAACACTCCCACCCAGCTTGGTTCTGTCTGCAAATTTAATGAGGGTACACTCGATCCCCTCATCAATAAAGTTGTTGAACAGGACTGGCCCCAATGCTGATCCCTGGGGGACACCCCTAGTGACCAGCCACCCTCTGGTACCATTCACCTCTACTCTCTGGGCCCAGTCATCAGCCAGTCCTTAACCCAGCAGAGTGCAGCTCTCCAAGCCATGGGATGCTAGTTTTCCAGGAGAATGCTGTGGGAGACAGTATTAAAGATTTTACTGAAGTCTAGGAAAACTATATCCACAGCCTTTCCTACTAGGCTGGTCACTTGGTCATAAAAAAAGATTAGGTTGGTCAAGTAGTACCTGCCTTTCCTAAACCCATCCTGAGTGGGTCTGATGCTCTGGTTGTCCTGTATGTGCTGTGTGATTGCACTTAATCTGTTCCATAACCTTCCTGGGCTCCAAGGTCAGGCTGACAGGTCTGTAGTTCCTGGGATCCTCCTTCTGACTCTTCTTGTTGATGGGTCTCACACTGGTCAACTTTCAGTCACCTGGGACCTCCTTGGTTAACCAGGGCTGATGATAAATGATGGAGAATGGCTTTTCAGGCTCTTCCACCAGCTCCCTCAGCACCCTCAGGTGAATACCATCTGTCCCTATTGACTTGTGAGTGGCTCAGCAGGTCACTAATGACTCCTTCCTGGATTTCAGGGAGTTTATTTTGCTTCCCATCCCTTTCTACCACCTCAGGGCTGGTTACTCTGAGCATAACCTATCTTTCAGTTAAAGACTGAGGCAAAGAAGGCATTAAGTATGTCAGTGTTTTCCTCATCCTTGGTGACAATGTTCCCATCCTGCATACAATAAAGGATGGAGATTTTCCTTGGCCCTACTTTTGTTGTTAATGTATTTATATAAATACTTTTTATTGTCTTTCACAGCAGTAGCCAGATTGAGTTCTACCCGAGCTTTTACCTTTCTAATTTTCTTTCTACATGCCCTAACAACATCTTTGTATTCTTCCTGAGTTGCCTGCCCCTTCTTTCAGAGGTCACAAACTCTGTTTTTGCCCTGGGTTCCTGTGAAAGCTCCCTGTTCAGCCAGGCAGGTCTTCTTCCCTGACAGCTTGTCTTTTGGCCCACAGGGATGGTCTGCTCCTGTGCCTTTAAGATTTCCTTCTTAAAGTATGTCCAGCCTTCCAGGACCCCTTTGCTATTAAGGACTGCTTCCTGAGGGACTTTCTGAACCAGTGTCCTAAACAGGCCAAATTCTGCCCTCCCAAAGTCCAAGGCAGTGGTTTTGTTCACCTCCTTCCATGCTTCACCGAAAATTGAAAACTCTATAATTTCATGGTCACTATGCCCAGGACAGCCTCTGACTACCACGTTCCAACTTGTAATCAACCAGCTCATCCCTGAAAAATGATTTCAAAGACCACCATTTCCCCCCAAATTCTGGGCTTTAAAACCTACCCTGTTGTCAGAAACACACTTAGGAATGATTTATTAGCAAAAAAAATTGTGTGTAGAGATATGTTGGACTGCACAAGATACTGGTTTTTCTTCATTAATGTTTCTTCAGTAATGCATTCATGAAATATTGTCACTTCATTTTTATTCTATTTAGTTCTAGGTGAGCACATACATATACTATGTTGAAGTATCTAATTTGTGTACATCAGGCTATCTACATTTTTCCATATGGAGGTACCACAATATTAATATCTGTTTTCCTTAAATAGGCTACAGTTTGCTTAATCTTTCTTTCTGTGCATGATCTTGCAAGAGTAAAAAGGCTTTCATACAAAGGCTGCGTTTTTATATGCAAATCCATTATTTGATTACCCACTTTTTTGTCCCTACATTATCATGAATATTTCTGATGAATGTTTTATGGGTTAGGTTTAGGATTTGAGAGCTATTTCAAATTTATCTGTTTGCCATATCATCTGCAAATACTGCATCTTTGTTGATGTTGATTGGTCTCATTTACATATTTATCACAATTTTATTTTCAAGGATGTTTTGATATAAACTGTCTGTCCCCATTTCTCCTCCATGTACTACTAGTAGGTGGATGTATCTTCATATTGAGCCCATTACCATATATAATTTTTTTGGTTAACAATAAATCACCACTTAGAGACAATCTATTCAATGCCTTCATACCTATCTGACATATGGTTTCTGAGTAATTAAAGATAACAGAAGCAGCTCACAATGCACTTTGCAACTCAGTTCATACACCAGAGAGCTCAATGATTTTCCATAAGGACTAGGCTTAAAGGAACTCCACAGGACTGCGGAGAAACAAGTGCCAACAAAACTGGCAACACAGAGGTGATCTTAGCCCTAACTAGAACTTTTCTTTTATCAAGAAAAATTACCTTTTACAGTGGTGCTTGCTGGGTTTATGAGAGGCTGGATCCGTAAGTGGGAAGATTTTTAGTTTGTACATGCTGAGAGAAGGCTCCTGATCCTACAGTGATACTCTGAAATGGATCTTCTATTTCAGAAAAGGCCAGATGCCATCTGAGCTTTACCACTTGGTACTGATAGCAGCTCTTCAATCCTTGCATGTTCACTGTTTGTTCTTCCTCCATCCATTCATCCATCCATCCATCCTTCTCCAAGTTCAAAATCCTTTCACTTTCTTGGCCATACCTTCTGGTATGTTCACTTTCTTGGTAAATTCCTTACTTATACAAGAGTACGAGGGAAAAGGGTAGAAAAGGTGCAGAGAACTGTCCTTTTGACCTTTGCCATTATACACACAGCACTGAAAAGGACACTGAATTTTATGTGCCCCACTCCCACCCAGACTCCTCTTGGGTGAACAGCCTATTTGTGATTCTCTCCTCTCACAGTGCAAGTACTGGCTCTGTTTCTAAGCAAAATGTTATTTGCCCATATATGAAATAATTCAGAAAAATCATACATGCCCAAGAACAGTTCAGGTTGGACAGTGATGGTTATAATTTCTGGTGCTAGCACCACATAACCCATAGATTTTCTGTTGTTAAAGAACAGCTGGAAAAAACATATTAATAAGGGTAATAATAATAAAAATTAAGGTAATAATCCTTCTAGTGGTAGAGCTGCAACACATCCACAGTAGCGTACTAATGAATGTACGATATATCTGGCTCATCAGAGGTGCTCATAATTGTATCTCCAAGATTATCACTAAAATTCACAGAAATTAGGTGCTTACACCCTTTGTGTGCTTAAATTTTTGGATCTATCACCCATAAGAAATTTCTCTCACACATCTTGCCAGCTGACTCTGAACATGCACAAAACAATCTTATTTATTCATTAGTGAAAAAGGAATTGGCTGACCTGTTCTTGACGGGAGTGCTTTCCTCCCTAATCTTTCCACTGTTTCATTCCAAAACTCTCAAAATAATCAGTTTCCTGTGAACTTCTGTTATGGCACTGTATTTATTAACTGCAATGACACTCCATGTTCAGCCAGTCCTTTGAAGACTGCCCATTTGCTGATATGAAAATGTATTTATGACAACATTGTTCTGAAACATGTGGTGTTAATAGAAAAAGTTTCTATTTTTTTTTTTTAAACCTAAAGATGAAATATATGAAGCTCAGAGGTAGGGAGCTGCAACCAGAAACTGCTGCTTGGAGTAAAATAGTTGTTGACATAATACGTACATTTTCTCTAGGTCAAGAAGTCCTGCAAAAGCTCCTTTTGGAACGACTCTCATCTTGGTGAGGACAAATCTCCTGAAAATAGAGAAAATGGGGTGATTATTCTCTATTCACAGCACAGGACTGCACAGTAGCCTTGGTAGCACAGGAGAGGCCTTTATCACTGGTACAAGGATAGTCTCTGGGCTGAAAGCTTTGGCATCTAAATACAGCTGTAACATTCAAAGCATTTGTGGGACTCCAGCTGCCCTGACCAAAATTACAGCATTGCATTGGATGACCACTGGGGCTCCTCAGGGGAAAAAGCATCCATCAGTAGTTGCCACTTCCCTGTTTGTTTCAGTGAGAAATCCAGACCTGCAGCTCCTCTGTGTGCTGGGAGTGAACAGTGCCTTTCTCATCTCGAGTGCTCTTTTGAGTGATGCTCAAGCATAGGATGAAGGCTCCCTGTGGACCCAGATGGAGGTGAGTTGCCTACAAGACTATAAGGTGGTACATCCATGCTCATGCAGGATGAACCTTAACCTGCTGCACAGATAATTTAAGAAGTCAGCTACTATCTCCCATCAGTGCAACTTTATTAACTTTATTGCTTCTCACAGTCTCTCTTCTAATTAGTTGATAATGTGCACCAAAATTGGGACTTTGGAGTACACAGCTCGATCATAAATGCTCCAGGACTACATTTTTATCATTTTTAAAGGTCACATAACATGCTTGATGAAGAAAAATCATTTAAAATATCATATAAACCTTTTTGTTAAATTGGAGTTATCTCCTTTAATGACAGTAAAAGAGGACTAGAAAACTTCTGATGGCACTTAACAAATGAAAGGTAGGGTTTCTACTACTCTACGAAGAAATAAGGTGTTATGTGGGTAATTGTCTTCTTTCACACATTTAATCATTCATAGGTAGTGAGAACAAACAATTGTATATATTAACATGACCTGCTCATGACAAGACATCATATAACACTGGTTGCATTGACTGACAGTTGTTAAAAAATGTTTTTTTCTTAAAAAAAACCAACAAACCCACCTTTGTTACATACATGAACACGTTACATACATACATACATACATACACACATTGCACTCTGTGATTCACCTTCTTAGTCTATTTTCCCACAGAAATGGAAATGATTTTTTTTCTGAATTACTATGGAAGTCTTTTTTTCAGTGAGCATATCTTCCAGATCACTGCAAATTGTTATTGTCTCAGAACTGGTTTTGCATGGCTGTTTGGGATTGCCTTTCATCTCCTGTCTGTGCTGCATCATTGTAAGGTCTGCAGGAGGACAGAAAGGGGAACTCAGCCTGGTACAGCCTGCTGTGCAGTCCTGCAAATTTTAACACAATGCTCAAAACAAGAGACTTTCTTACTGTTCACATTAAGTATTCATGCAATCCTCATCTATGTTTTATTTCAAATGATTAGCTTAGAATTTTCATGGGAGATTATCAAGTTTTAATCAAAGTTCTAGGGGAAAAAGTATTACTCTGACAGAGTACCAATGTGAAAGGTTCCCATTTTTTAATTGTAGGTCTTTAGTAGAATCTACCCCCTCATGAGTTAGCATTTACTTAAGCAGGACAAAGTCAATGCACAGCTCACCTAGCTCTAGAGATGTCACTGTGATTATACCAGGAGTGAACTTGGCCCCACACTTTTTTTAAACATTGAAATTTATGGTATTCTCAGTCCTGAAAGACGATGAAGTCAATTTGGTATTTCATTATTCTTGTACTATCATTAATGTAAATCAGAAAGAGCTTCAACATACTGTCACACAAGAATTACAGTATTGAGATCATTATGCAAATGTTAGAAGGATAAAAGAGCTTCCCAGAAAAGGCCTATCCTGGATTAGGCAATTTGTAAAACCCTACTGAAAACAGGGCTGGTGTAATGCATGCAAAGCTATGGCTGTGCTTTCTGAGCAGTTAGACACAATGGATCCTTGCAGAACACCCAGCAGGCTTAGTGCTACAAAGCTGAACCATCAGGAAGCTCTTTAACTTTGATCTGCTTTGAAATCTTTCTCAAACTCCGCTTTGTAGAAATGCACGCCTAATTTCTGAGCCCTAGAAAGCAGGCTTTGTCTGAAAAGCCACCTATCATTTTTTTATGGCACTGTGCTAAAATGAATCCTCTCTCTGCATGCTTAGGTCATCAGGACATTTGCAATTTTTTAATTAAATACTGGCCTATGCCATCCTTCACCACAACAAGAAATTACATTCTGATACAGAAACTAATGGAAGGAAGGAAACCTCATTCATAGATGGGGTTACTTATATGAAAAAAGCCACATCTGCATAGAATTAAAAATTAGACCTTGAGTTTCTTTGTTGAAGACCCTGATATCCTGCATTAATAAAGCGCCAGAATTCAGGAGTCACGTGTCTAATGCCTTGAGGCAGTTAAAGTAGAATTGAAATTTAATAGCTGAAATCTCACATTTCACTTAAAAAAATTAAGGTTAATTGTTTTTAAACATCTCTGAGTAGGCTAATAAAGTCAGCGTTAACGGTATAACAAACATTGAAAATTAGAATCAGCTACCTGTTGAATTATCAACTATATAATGAATAGGAGTCTATTATAACTAGCCAAATGCTGTATTGTCAATAAATCTCACCAATTAGTCTCCAAGAATCAATCTGTACTTGAGATACTGACTGTTCAGTAGCAATTCTTTCTGAAGTACATGGAGAAAATAATTGAAAAGCCTTTCCTTGGTTTTGTTGCTGGCACTATTTTAGGGTTAAAGAAATGAGTACAGCCCACCTTTTTCAAGCATGTTTCATGTCACAACAAACAGTTAAAAAAACGTTTCCTTTAAAAAACATGCATGTAAGAGAGATAAGCAGTATTTGGTCCTAAAAATTTATGTTAGCACTTAGACACCAGTAAGGAGAGCACTGAAAAGCTCTCAGTGAAAAACTCTCTTCAGTGAATGGCGTGGAATTAAAAACCCAGAGCCAGGTGCCCAACATAAGGCATTAGAAAGGTTAGACTGAAGGTTGGGTGACCCAAAAATCCATATGCAAAGTTAGCTTCCAGGAAACATCAAATCTCATCTCCCAGGGCTTTCAGCACCAGCCTCATCACACACAAGGACCCCCACTCGCATCAGGCTTTGCCATGAGGGAGGTGTTGTTGTCCCTCAATGCAGCCCTGGCAGCCAAAGCAGAGACATAGAATGGGAGTCCTCTCTTCAAGTCTTCCCTTACACTGAGTGCTACAGCCATCTGAATTTCATGCCTCAGGAGGATGCTCAGTGACCAAGGGACCTCTCCCTGTCCAGGCTCAAGCATCATGCAGCCAGGGCTAGACTTCTTCTGCCACTAAAGAAGACAAGGGGGAACTTACCACCCTCTCTAGAGGGCTTACAATTAGAGCTGGTTTCCCTCAGACAGATTATAAAATTGATAATTACACTTTTTAAGTCCAGAGTTTAGTGATGCTAATCTTATTTGGGCTACAGTAGGTCCCAGAAGTCCTAGAAAGGACTCCGGTGTAGGAGCCACCAAAAACTTAACAAACACGAGAGCAGAAATCAGAGGAAAGGAAACAAGCCCCAGTTGGTCACACATCAGATGGTTATCCTACATCTTGTGAAGGCAGTATACATAGCTGGAAATAGAAGAATGACAATATTAACTAATGTTATTTGCTATGTACAGAACTATAATATAGATGTAAATGTGGCCCGTTGCTCCTATACATGCCCTGATATCCAGGAGAGGTCTCTAAATCCTGACTTAAATATATCTGTTGAAAGTGATTCTTAGACAGTTTGTTGATAGATACTGTCTGCTCTAGTTGTACAATCACACTTATACTTTATATATTCCTCTGGACTGAACATGCAAAATTCCCACAGCTTTTTCTACTTTTAATTTTTAAGTGTTTTTTATGCCTGTTTAGTATATAATTTTTATTTGTCTCATGAATGCATGTGAGTAAATTCCTCTATTATGAAGCTACTAAAAAAATGTTGCTACTTAAAGCTAGACCTGTCAGGACTAGGGCAGAACTATCTCCTACTGATTTGTTTATTTATACAGAGACACATAAACCTGGTTATTTAGAGCAGTGGGGTCTCAGTTAATATGAAGCCAGTAACACAGATAACATACACTTTATATCACTATGAAGAGCAAACAACACAAATACATCTTGTTTCTATATGGTTGTGTCTAGTATAAGAGAAATATCATAGTGCCACTTAATCTCAAAGCCTATAGAGGACATGATGCAAAGAACAGAAATTAGCGGGTACTGCTAAAATGTTCCTGAATAACCCTCTAACATTTCCAGTTATGAAAAGATTTATTGATCTTTTCCTAAAATAGTCTTCTTCAGCTGAAGTAGTTGAGACAGGCAGAATATAAGACATGAAGGAAAAAAAAAAACCTCCAGAAAAATTAATGTTCTCCTATCCAGCCCCACATGAATCCAGTGACAGAAAAGAAATTGACTTCATCATAAAAGGATGGAGGACTGGATGTCCTTATTCAAGTATCTGGTGCCCAAGGTATTGGTGATGAAAAAGACTTGGTAAATTAGAAGTTAAAAAAGTAGGTCCATATAGGTTTCTGCTAAATGTCTCTGAAAAAAAGTGCATAGAAAACCTGTGAAGTGTGCACATTAAGCAAATCAATGTAAAGACACATTTGTGAGGTATTTGTGAGGTTAGCCATTTATGTGAAAAATTACGTATTTTACATATTCAGCAAATGAATTTTCAGACCCTGGTTCCACAAGTTTTTCTTGAACAATTATTAAGATGCTTTTTGGTAGAAATTTTCCATCAGAGCTTTCTCCTGCTCTGCTTTAGTGTTGCCTCTTCCCAGCCCCCTTCCCTGCCAGACGCCTCCCCACCACCCCTGGCAATAATCTGGCACAACAAAGGAATGCACTGATTATCAGAAATTAGACTGCTTAAAAAAAATAAAATGATTTCTGCTTCATAAAGCCTGGCTGAATTTAGGTATTTCAAAACACTCTTTAAAACTCATTTCTCAGATCTACTTAAGTCACACACAGTTAATCAGAAAAGTGTG